GATCCTGGGAATATTAGCTGCTGCTATAATTCTGTTTCAGTTATTTGCACTTCCCTATGAAAAGCATTCACCCTCTCTACCTCATGCCAATAAGGGTTCAGTGTCAGTGACGGTTGAAAGTGCCACCCTTTTGAATAGTTCGAAATTAACCAATATTCATATAGTTCATGGGGTGGTCACAAATGCTAATGCTTCGGATTTGGATGGAAAAGCTAAGAATGAGAATGGAATGAGCGGAAAGGACACAGACTATGATTTTGCATCTGATGATGATGGAGATATTGATAATTCTTCTGAAATAGACAAGGAGAGGAACTCGCATAATGAGGGGATGGGTTTAACAGTTCATAACAGTTCAACAATCAGAACTGTTAGGGGGACAGATAATAGTTTTACTCAAGAAAAGGTTACAGGAATAGGACTTGGTGCCCTGGAGCAGGTTAAGGAATCAGATAATGATTCTACTCTAGGCAAAGACCAAAAAACAATTAGCGCCCCGATCCTAGGAGGAATTCACAATCGAACTGGTTTTGGGGCCCTGCCTCCCATGTCACCAAGAATTTTTACAAATGGCATGGAAAACCTAGATGCAGATTCAAGACCTCCACGGTTACCTGTAGCTGCCAATGCATCTGCAGGACACACTGACAAACACACTACGGAAACCCAGCCCAAGGATGCAAGTTCTGAGCCGATGCAAAAAAATTCAATTACTTTGAGCAATAATTCCTCATTGGCTGTTAATTCTATTAAGGAGGAGAGCGGGGTGAAAACAATATCAATATACGAGATGAATTTGTTATTGATTCAGAGTTCTGTTTATTCTAATTCAATGGTATGGATCTGGAAGTTGAGATTTTAATTTGGGAAATGAGGATTACATTATGTATTTTAGATTTTTGACTTCTTTTTCTACTGGTTATAGAGGCCAAGATGGTCTTCTGCACGTGATCGACAACTTCTAGATGCAAGATTACAAATTGTGAAAGCTCCAATTATAAGGAATGCTCCAGGACTCCATGCTTCTCTTTTTCGAAATTTGTCCATGTTTAAAAGGTAAGTGTATCTAAACAAACTTATGTAATATATATATCAAATTTTAGTACAGTAGTTCGTATGACATATTGAATATTTCACTTGTACTCGGTGTCCTAGCTATGCATAACGATGTCTACTGTTGGTTAAACTTCTATGCCTTTATCACACATTAGAATAGGCACCATCTTTGGCACTAAGAAAATAAGGGGAATTGGGTAGATACTGATGGTAAACCTTTTTATCCAACATTTATGAAAAAATATGGATTTCAGTAGTAGAATATGTAGCCAAGGTAAAACCACTCCATCGAGCAGTTAATTAAAACTATAGATTATGGTGATGAATGATGACTTCTATGTTACCAAAAAAGATGCCTGCTAGCGTTGCAAGCATAATTCATGAGCATGGGGTTTATGTTCCCATCACCAGTTCTTTAGTATTCATCATAGTGGATGCTTTTGGCCCGGCTGTATTAGCTGCATGTTTTTCAGGATCTTACATGCATTTAAATTTTTGACTGCAAATATATTGCCATTATATGTCTACGCCCCATGTATGTGGTAGATTGAACGTATATGTTCAAACTAAGATATTCACATGCTTGTATAGTCATACTTAAATTGCAGTCGCGTCAATATCAAGGTTAAACATGGCAAAAAGACACTAAATGTAAATGGAGACCACATATCGGTGTGCCTTTATGGAAGTTAAACTACCAAACTCCACAAGAAAGCAACCCATTATCCGACTGGGCTGAAGTAACCATGTGATACAATTGCAGGAGTTACGAAATTATGGAACGAACACTCAAAGTCTATATTTATAGAGGAGAGAAGCCGATATTCCATGAGCCATATTTGAGGGGAATTTATGCTTCTGAAGGATGGTTCATGAAACTGATAGAGGGAAACAAAAAATTTGTGGTGAGGGACCCCACAAAAGCTCACTTGTTTTACTTTCCTTTCAGTTCACTAAAGCTAAGGCTTGCACTTAATGAACCAAAGTTTGCGAGTAAGAGGGACTTAGAAAAATATCTAAAGCACTATGTGGACATGATTGCTGGCAAGTATCGTTTTTGGAACAGAACTGGAGGAGCAGATCATTTTAGTGTTTCTTGTCATGATTGGGTATGCTTTCCGTGTCTTAATTTGTATTCAGATTTCATTTTTCATGTCGTTAAAGCTCAATCTCAATCTACATTCTTTGATAATGTGATCTTGTTTCATAGTGAAAGCAATATAATTTAGAATGAGCTCAGGTCTCTTGGCACGTCCTAATCCATATTAGATGGGACATTAAGCAGTTAGTGTGTTCAAGTTTACTGTGAAGCCATAAGCCAACCATCCATGATGCTTTATCTTGACTGATTCAATCTGCTGATGTAGTAGGAAGTAGGACTTTTGTCAGTTGTAGAACTTTTGGGTAATATTGAACCCTGATGATCCATACCATTTCCAAATTGTTGAAGGTTCCTAAGGTCCCCTTACGTTAGTCTGTTTCTCTTTCGCTCTGAAGTATGAAGGGAGAAAATCTGAAAGCCATCAAAAGCTGTAACCTGCCACCCACATTCTAAGCCTAATTCAAATGCAGCTTGATATTATTTTGTGTATTAATTGATTGAACATATATAAATTCCTAGTGACACCCAGATTTTCTGCAGGCTCCTTGGATGACAAGGAATAGTATGGGGAGTTGCATCAGAGCTCTTTGCAACGCCAACATAGCCAGCGGCTTCAAAATAGGCAAGGATGTTTCTCTACCTGTGACATATGTTCATAATTTGCAGGACCCCCTAAAAGGTATAGGAGGAAAACCTCCTTCACAGAGACATATTCTGGCCTTCTTTGCAGGAGGCATGCATGGGTATCTCCGTCCCATTCTGCTACAGTATTGGAAGGATAAAGAACCCGACATGAAGATCTTTGGGCCAATGCCTCGTGATAAAGAGGGCAAAGCACCATACAGGGAGCACATGAAGAGCAGCAAATATTGCATATGTGCCAGGGGCTATCAAGTCCACACACCTAGAGTGGTTGAGTCCATATTGTATGAGTGCGTACCAGTGATCTTATCAGATAACTATGTGCCCCCATTCTTTGAGATATTGGACTGGGAAACATTTTCTGTGTTCATCCCAGAGAAAGACATCCCGAATTTGAGGAACATACTTCTTTCTATTCCAGAAGAAAAGTACCTTGCAATGCAGCAGAGAGTAAAGATGGTGCAGAAGCATTTTCTTTGGCACAAAAAGCCGGTTAAGTACGATTTATTTCACATGATCCTTCACTCAGTTTGGTACAACAGAGTTTTTCAGTTAAAAACTAGGTGAGGGTGCTGGAGAATATTGGAGTTCAGGCATTGAGGAAACATGTATCGTGCCAGTGTATTTGAAAGAGGGCCTGAACATGGTGTTAGGGAGCCAAACACACCCTAATGAAGGCTGATCTTCAATCAGCATTGCTCCTTGTACATAGTGCACACCATATATGGTCAAAGGCTGTTCTTCAATTAAATGGTGAACCACATCTTTCGATCACATACATGGTAATGTAACCTAAAGTTCTTCTCTATATGATGATGCAATATGTTGAGACTGGTATTTGAAGTAATTCTAAAAAAAAATATGTAATAAACAATTCCATTATTTAGTATATGCATATAAACTCTTATAATTTGAAAATTTGTAGCAAATTGCCTCCTAATAGGCAATTTTAACTAAATTTTTTTTACAAAACCCCCCAAAATATTTTGAATAAAATTTGTGCCGACAAGTGTTATTTATTTATTTATTATTATTTTGCTTTAAGGGTATTGTAGGTATTTTATTTTAAAATTGAAAAAATGTTCTTATGATTATAAGGTGATTTTTTTATATATATTTTTTATTATTGTGTTTTCTAACGACTTTTCATATTAGGTCACCTATGAACATAATTTTTTTAAATACATATATTTTTTCAAGATTTAAACCCTCTAATAAAAAAAATTTAATGTTCAAGTGTATAAAAAATAGTATTTAAATATAAAATAGCTCTTCACATTTAATCAATAGGTTGAAAAATTCTGTTTGTTTTGATGTAAAATATATTCCTCAAAAAATATATATATCTTTAAGTAAAATATTATTTTATTTTTATTTTTCGGTGTTTAATAAAGATTTAGATTGATGTTAAAGTTGGATCCATAGGGTGAATAATTAGTCAAAATTTAATAAATAAATTATTCTATTAAATTTAATAAATGTTTCTTTGCCTGTGACATATGTTCGTAATTCACAGGACCCCTAAAACAGTTTTTTTTTTTTCTCCAATATTTATATATATAACTTATTTTAGTATTAATAATAATATTTTTATTAGATTATTTGTATTTTAAAAAAAACATAGTAATTGGTAATCTCAACCTAATTTGACCAACCCAATTTTAACATAATTTTGAAAAATATAATTAGTTACATTTCCATCTTGATCTATATTTGACCTATATTTGACCTTTGGACATGTACCCTATCTTCTATATACAAAGACTATTTCCTTTCCTTCTTTTTTTCACATTATTAGTAGCACAATGAAACGCAGAGTATTTGAAATAAAATAGATTTTTATAATAAGTAATTAAAAATGATAGAAATGGCACTGAAACTTAACCTAATTAATTATTCATCCATTTCATTTGCCTTTCAAACACAAAGCTTGACAAATTTGTTTCTTAACAGCGCACACTTCGCAACTAATTCAAAAATATTCTCATTCTTTTTAAGAAAATACTCGTAATACCTTTGTTAAAAATAAATATAAATTAATTAAATGTAAAAGTGTAAGAATGAGAATATTTTTGGATTGTCGGCAAGTTTCAAAGTCTTCCCTTTCTCTATCTCTTTCTCATTTTGATTAAAATATATAAATATATATATATATATATAGATGATTGTGTAAGAAGTAAGAAAGTGATGGAAAGTCTCTTATCACCAGTCAATTGGGTATTCTGTGTTACAGTATATTATATTTGATCATTATGTTATATAATAATTTAGTCGTATTATTGTTAAATAAATGGGTCCTATCGGTTACAATTACGACATATTCAAGTATTATTCTTTTACTCAAGTGGATGCTTTTTCTGAAGTGGGTCTCTCCGTTGTCGATCTTCCTTCTGCTTCAATCTCAGGTAACTTCAACTCTTTATTCTTTCGAAGAAGTTTCAAATTCCTGCAATCAATCACGTACTACTAATATGAGTCTTCAGTATTTCGATTGTTTCTTAACAAATTTTCTGTGAAAAATCTCATTTACTTTCCACCGCCATTTCCTCAGAAACAAAACAGGGGACTTGCTTCATGGAAAGTTGAGTTCATACACTTTGAACTACTTTTGTTTACCAAACATTTTCCCTAGAAATCGGCACCCAAGACAAGATTTTTCTGGATGATATGTTTTGTAGACGGAATAGTCATAAATTACTTTGTTCTGTACTTTTATTTTGTGTTTCTGAAGATTCAAGGTCACATACTTCAATTGATTTCAAAAGTACTGCATTCTGAATTTAGGTTATTTTTGAAAGACTTTATGAATTATATCTACTTTGAATGAACTATGTATTGATTGACATACAATAATTTGCTTGTTGTATTTAAAGAAGACCAATTAGTTCTCTGCGTGCCCATGGTAGATTGAAGGTTTGCTGTAACTTGTATTTACTTGTATTTTCACTACACCAGTCCGGTTAGATGGGGTTGTAGACCTAGGAAACAGGGAGTGTCACGGCGGTGTCAGGTGTGCGATATGTACACGCGTGAGACACAGCTCCACACAGGTCTGGAGGCAAAGTTAAAAGTGTCCTAGAGTGTGAATATTTTTTACTCCCTATTTTTTTCTGGTTGGACACTGCTGGGACTTTGTGGAGTTATATTTAGGAGACTTTCAACACACAATGGGGGTAGTTTTCAATTTTTAGTTTTAATTTTTTTTTTTTTGGAAAAATAGGTTTCAATGCAATTTTAACATATTGTGTTAAGACTTAAGAAAAGTGAGATAAAGTTTTAAAAATCAAAAACAATTTTGGTCAAACTTTAAACTCCAAATTATTGATTACATTCATGATAATTTAGATAAAATGAGCAATTTTTATATTATTATTTATTATTATGTATAATAATATATTATGCTATTAATTATTGATCTATCACTGCTATGTCCATGTCTCATTTTACTTAAAAAATTTGTTAGTTCTCTGTATACATACCATGTCGTACCCATGTCCATATCCGTGCTTTATGGCTTGTAACCCAAGTAGGGGCAATAAAAGTGTTGGGTTCAAATCTGATACTTTGATTAATTGGATCCGGCTTTGTCTAGCCCACTTGATGGAGATAGTAAATTGGTTGTGTCGGGTTCAAATCCGAGTTTGACGAGAGCCTTTACCTCATTTAGCGGTTTAACGATTGAACATTAATGTCATTTCGAGTCTCCAAGCTGTCACTTTGTTAAATACCAAATGGTAGGTCTGTCTCAACTCTCAAATCCTCCCTCCCTAGGACCTGCTGTAGCGAGGGATCAGAATTGGTAATTCCCTCTATTTACTTCTATTTTCATTCTTTTAGCAGTATCAACAATATCAATATTGTACAAAGCATCAGTTCTTAATCTACTTTTGTTGCTCCTTTTTTATCTTGCAAAAACTATTATTATAATAATTTTGCATTACACGCTTATTAAGTAATTCTAATAGGTTGAACTAATTAGGACAATATCTAGAAAATTAATTTGAATTTGAATGGGAAGTATCACTGTTAGAAATGAACACTTGTTTTTTTTATGATGTTTCCTTGCAGAATTTTAGAATAGCTTTAGCTGGCTTCTGAGTTGTTTATTTATTTATTTCTTTCTGCTGTTCCAATTCTTGAATCAGAGTTTATATTTTCAGTGCCTTTTCAAGTCCAAGTATATCAGTGCTTGATCACTAAATCTTTCTTTTTTTTAGCTTTGTACAACATATTATTATCTACATTTTTGAAGTTATGAACTGAATATAGGATTCTTAATAAGTAGGTCCAAGGATCGGTTTAATTAAGGAGAACTCACTTTATGATAAATCCTTTTTCAGGACATGGAGTAAAATTTGGGGTCATTTATCAATCACTCAGCCTCCGTGTGTACCTATGATGATAGGTTGAATATTGCTAACTTATGATATGGAAATTGGATCTCAGTTTCAAGGGTTATGTCATGCCCAAATCCAGAGACTTCTTTTGATCCTGGGGATATTAGCTGCTGCTATAATTCTGTTTCAATTATTCGCACTTTCCTATGAAAAGCATTTACCCTCTCTACCTCATGCCAATAAGGGTTCAGTGTCAGCGACCGTTGACAGTGCCACCCTTTTGAATATTTCGAAATTAACCAATATTCATATAGTTCATGGGGTGGTCACAAATGCTAATGCTTCTGATTTGAAGGGAAAAGCTTGGAACAAGAATGAAATGAACGGAGAGGACACAGACTATGAATTTGCATCTGATGGTGATGGAGAGAGTGATAATTCTTCTGAAATAAGCGAGGAGAGGAACTCACATAATGAGTTTAGATTGGGGATGGATCTAACAGTTCATAACAGTTCAACAATCAGAACTGTTAGGTGGACAGATAATAGTTTTACTCAAGAACAGGTTACAGGATTAGGACTTGGTGCCCTGGAGCAGGTTAAGGAATCAGATAATGATTCTACTCTAGGCAATGACCAAAAAACAATTAGCTCCCCGATCCTAGGAGGAATTCAGAATCGAACTGGTTTTGGGGCCTTGCCTCCCATGTCACCAAGAATTTTTACAAATGGCACCGAAAACCTAGATGCAGATTCAAGATCTCTACTGTTACCTGTTGCTGCCAATGTATCCGCAGGACACACGTACAATCACACTACGGAAACCCAGCCCAAGGATGCAAGTTCTGAGCCGATGCAAAAAATTTCAGTTACTTTGAGCAATAATTCCTCATTGGCTGTTAATTCTATTAAGGAGAGGAGGACGAAAACAATATCAATATACCAGATGAATTTGTTATTGATTCAGAGTTCTGTTTCTTCTAATTCAATGGTATGGATCTGGAAGTTAAGGTTTTAATTTGGGAAATGAGGATTACATTATGTATTTTGGATTTTTGACTTCTTTTTCTACTGGTTATAGAGGCCAAGATGGTCTTCTGCACGCGATCGACAACTTCAAGATGCAAGATTACAAATTGAGAAACCTCCAATCATAAGGAATGCTCCAGGACTCCATGCTTCTCTTTTTCGAAATTTTTCCATGTTTAAAAGGTAAGTGTATCTAAACAAACTTGTGTAATACACACACACACACACACAAACACACACATATATATATATCAAATTTTAGTAATTTGTATGACATATTGAATAGTTCACTTGTAATCTGTGTCCTAGCTATGCATAAAGATGTCTACTGTTGGTTAAATTTTTATGCCTCGTATCACACATTAGAATAGGCATCATCTTTGGCACTAAGAAAATAAGTGGAATTAGGTAGATACTGAAGGTAAACCTTTTTATCCAACATTTATGAAAAAACATGGATTTCAGTATTAGAATATGTTGCCAAGGTAAAACCACTGCATCGAGCATTTAATAAAAACTATAGATTATGGTGATGAATGATGCCCTCTATGTTACCAAAAAAGATGCCTGCTAATGTTGCAAGCATAATTCATGAACATGGGGTTTATGTTCCCATCACCAGTTCTTAAGTATTCATAGCGGATGGTTTTGGCCGGCTGTATTAGCTGCATGTTTTTCAGGATCTTACATGCATTTAAATTTAGACTTCAAATATATTGCCATATATGTCTATGCCCCATGTATGTGGTTGATTGAACATATATGTTCAAACTGAGATATTCACATGCTTTTATAGTCATATTCTTAAATTTCTATCGTGTATATATCAAGGTTAATCATGGCAAAAAGACACTAATGTAAATGGACACCACATATCGGTGTGCCTTTGTGGAAGTTAAACTACCAAACTCCATAAGAAAGCAACCCATTATCCGACTGGGCTGAAGTAACCATGTGATACAATTGCAGGAGTTATGAAATGATGGAACGAATGCTCAAAGTCTATATTTATAGAGAAGGAGAGAAGCCGATATTCCATGAGCCATATTTGAGGGGAATTTATGCTTCTGAAGGATGGTTCATGAAACTGATAGAGGGAAACAAACAATTTGTGGTGAGGAACCCCACAAAAGCTCACTTATTTTACTTACCTTTCAGTTCACAAAAGCTAAGGCTTGCACTTAATGAACCGAAGTTTGCGAGTCAGAAGGACTTGGAAAAATATCTAAAGCACCATGTGGACATGATTGCTGGCAAGTATCGTTTTTGGAACAGAACTGGAGGAGCAGATCATTTTAGTGTTTCTTGTCATGATTGGGTATGCTTTCCGTGTCTTAATTTGTATTCAGATTTCATTTTTCATGTCATTAAAGCTCAATCTCAATCTAGATTCTTTGATAATGTGATCTTGTTTCATAGTGAAAGCAATATTATTTAGAATGAGCTCAGGGCTCTCGGCTTATCCTTATCCATATCAGATGGGACATTCAGCAGTTAGTGTGTTCAAGTTTACTGTGAAGCCATAAGCCAACCATCTACGATGCTTTATCTAGACTGATTCAATCTGCTGATGTAGTAGGAAGTAGGACTTTTGTCAGTTGTAGAACTTTTGGGTAATAGTAAACCCTTACGGTAGTCTGTTTCTCTTTCGCTCTGAAGTATGAAGGGAGAAAATCTAAAAGCCATCAAAAGCTGTAACCTGCCACCCACATTCTAAGCCTAATTCAAGTGCAGCTTGATAGTATTTTGTGTATGAATTGATTAAACATATATAAATTCCTAGTGACAACCAGATTTTCTGCAGGCTCCTAGGATGACAAGGAATAGCATGGGGAGTTGCATCAGAGCTCTTTGCAACACCAACATAGCCAGCGGCTTCAAAATAGGCAAGGATGTTTCTCTACCTGTGACATATGTTCGTAATTCGCAGGACCCCCTAAAAGGTATAGGAGGAAAACCTCCTTCAGAGAGACATATTCTGGTCTTCTTTGCAGGGGGCATGCATGGGTATCTCCGTCCCATTCTGCTACAGTATTGGAAGGATAAAGAACCCGACATGAAGATCTTTGGGCCAATGCCTCGTGATATCGAGGGCAAAGCACTCTACAGGGAGCACATGAAGAGCAGCAAATATTGCATATGTGCCAGGGGCTATGAAGTCCACACACCTAGAGTGGTCGAGTCCATATTGTATGAGTGCGTACCAGTGATCATATCAGATAACTATGTGCCTCCATTCTTTGAGATATTGGACTGGGAAGCATTTTCTGTGTTCATCCCTGAGAAAGACATCCCGAATTTGAGGAACATACTTCTTTCTATTCCAGAGGAAAAGTACCTTGCAATGCAGCAGAGAGTAAAGATGGTGCAGCAGCATTTTCTTTGGCACAAACAGCCAGTTAAGTACGATTTATTTCACATGATCCTTCACTCAGTTTGGTACAACAGAGTTTTTCAGTTAAAAACTAGGTGAGGAGTTCAGGCATTGAGGAAACAGGAAAATGAGCATTCATCGAAAAAATAAATAAATAAAATAAAATAAAATAAAATGAAATGTCTTCTCTGAAGAGACGACGAATGGTAAAGAAAAGGTCCAAGCAACTCCAGAATCTGCTGAAAAATGTATAGTGCCAGTGTATTTGAAGGAGGGCCTGAACGTGTTAGGGAGCCGAACACACCATTATGAAGGCTGATTTTCAATTAGCATTGCCCTTTGTTCATAGTGTACAGTGAGGAGGACTGTAAAATATTGAGAACCGAGCGCAATATATGGTCAAAGGCTATTCTCCAATTAAATTGAGAACCATACCTTTCGATCACATGGTAATGTAACCTAAAGTTCTTCTCTATGTGATGATACAACATATATATATATATTACGTATATATATTTCAAAGGGGAAAAAATCAGTCTCCTGCTCATCTCTCACTGGAAGGTGTCCATGGAGGGGTAAATGCTGACATGGCACTTTTAGTTAAAATAGTATTTACTAGATTTTGTATAATACATATTACTTGTAGACCATTTTCATACGAAATATTTTATTCAATTGAGTTTGACTAAAATTGGAACTCCGAAAAGTCTATTCTATATATTTACCTCTCTAAGATCCAAACTAGAGGATAAAAGTTCCAAAATTCGACAAAGAAGCAAAGCAAGAAATATTATGGCAAAGTTGCATGTTTGGATTGGTTTAGTTTTTGTTTATTTTTATTACTTGCAGAACTAATTTACCCATTGATAGAGTCTAATCTGTTAGGCTTTCTTATTGTATTATTTTGTTGGATCTGTAATGTTTTTCCATATACCTGCATCATTATCTCCTTTATTTCATTTTAAAATTATATTTTTTTACCATTTGTAATATTCTTGAGCTTTTAAATTTTGTTTGCATTGAAATAAGATGTCAAATTACTTTCAAAAATTAGACATGGATTTATACTAGTTACACTTCTATTTTTCCTTGTATATGTGTTATTTAATTATGTATTTGTTAAAAAAAAAAAAAAAAATTCACAACGAGAATTGGAAGTAATGGTGATATTGAAATTTTCTTTGGCATTAGGCAGAAGGTTTTGAGGTTGTTCCATACGCTGCCCAATTTGCAGCTTACCAGTTGAGAGAGTTTTAGAGATTAAGGTCAATAATGGACCTGATGAGTGAAAGAATGATACATCATTGCAACCAAAATAAGTTCTTTTTTTTCTTTCTTTCTTTTTTTCTCTAACGAAAAATATAATTAGTATATAATTATATTGAATATAATGGTGTCTTCTTGTTGGTGTTAATTGATTACAATATTGTAAGCCAATGCTTTTTATGTTTGTGTCAGTTTTTAATGGTATTTCCTTTTGAGTTTTTACTAATCCAAATGAATAATGGAATTTCCTTTCAGTGTCAGCTTATGAATTAATTTATTTCTTCCAAATCTTTGTACCTACACAAATAAATATATTTTATGAATAACATTATTAATTTAATGTAATATATTTTAAACTTAAATTATATGTAACATCTTAACTTACTTGTAACATGTATCATATATTATTTTTATGTGACTTATATCAATAAAAACATGAATTAAATTCAATATCAAACAAATATGTTTTAGAATGACATAAAAATGTAAAACATGTTAAATTTATGGATTATTTTCTTTCTTCCCAATCTTTGCACCTACACAAATAAACATATTTTACGAATAATATTATAAATTAAACGTAATACGTTTCAAACCTAAATTATATGTAACATTTTAACTTACTTGTAATATGTATCATATATTATTTTTATGTGACTTGAATCAATAAAAATATGAAATAAATTGAAAACAAATTATAAACAAATTTTTAAATAGTTTCAATATACGGAGTAATATTTTCTTTCTAGGTTGAATAATAGAATTTGAGTGTTCTTCATGAGTGTGTAGATTAATTTATTTCTTCCAAATATTTGGACCTACACAAATAAACATATTTTACAAATAACATTAGTACTTAAACGTAATATATTTTAAACCTAAATTATATGTAATATCTTAACTTACTTATAACGTATATCATATATTATTTTTATGTGACTTATATCAATAAAAACATGAATTAAATTCAATATCAAACAAATATGTTTTAGAATGACATAATAATATAAAACATGTTAAATTTATGTATTAATTTCTTTCATACTAATCTTTGCACCTACACAAATAAACATAATTTACGAATAACATCATAAACGTAATATGTTTCAAACCTAAATTATATGTAACATTTTAACTTACTTGTAACATATATCATATATTATTTTTATGTAACTTGAATCAATAAAAACATGAAATAAATTGAAAACAAATTATAAACAAATTTTTAAATAGTTTCAATATACAGAGTAATATTTTCTTTCTGGGTTGAATAATAGAATTCTAGTGTTCTTTATGAGTATGTTGATTAATTTATTTCTTCCAAATATTTGCAAAATAAACATATTTTACAAATAACATTAGGAATTAAACGTAATATATTTCAAACCCAAATTATATGTAACATCTTAACTTATAACATGTATTATATATTATTTTTATGTGACTTGTATCAGTAAAAACATGAATTAAATTCAATATCAAACAAATATGTTTTAGAATGACATATAATTCATAAATTTAACATATTTTACGTTGTTATGTCATTCTAAAACATATTTGTTTGATATTGAATTTAATTTAAATTTTTATTAATACAAGTCACATAAAAATAATATATAATACATGTTATAAATAAGTTAAGATGCTACATATATTTTAGGTTTGAAACGTATTACGTTATATTAATGACGTTATTTGTAAAATATGTTTATTTGCGTAGGTGCAAAGATTTGGAGGAAAGAAATTAATCCATAAACTTAACATATTTTACGTTGTTATGTCATTCTAAAACATATTTGTTTGATGTTATATTTTTACTGATACTTGTCACATAAAAATAATATATAATACATGCTACAAGTAAGTTAATATGTTACATATAATTTAGGTTTGAAATATATTACGTTTAATTCCTGCTATTATTCGTAATATATGTTTAGTTGTGTAGGTGCAAAAATTTGTAAGAAAGAAATTAATCCATAAACTTAACACGTTTTACGTTGTTATGTCATTCTAAGACATATTTGTTTGATGTTGAATTTAATTCGATTTTTTATTGATACAAGTTACATAAAAATAATATATGATACATGTTACAAGTAATTTAAAATGTTACATATAATTTAGGTTTGAAATATATTATGTTAAATTAATGATGTTATTAGTAAAATATGTTTGCTTGTGTAGGTGCAAGAATTTGGAAGAATAAAATTAATTCATATATTTAACATATTTTACGTTATTATGTCATTCTAAAACATATTAGTTTGATTTTCAATTTAATTCATATTTTTATTGATTCAATTCATATAAAATAATATATGATACATGTTACAAATAAGTTAAAATGTTACATATAATTTAGGTTTGAAACATATTACATTTAATTTCTGATGCTATTCGTTAAATATGTTTATTTGTGTAGGTGCAAAGATTGGGAAGAAAGAAATTAATCTATAAATTTAACATGTTTTACATTGTTATATCATTCTAAAATATATTTGTTTGATATTGAATTTAATTCATATTTTTATTAATACAAGTCACATAAAAATAATATATGACTATATGTAACAGTATATTTAGAGATACAAAAGAAGAAAAAAAACAGAAATATAACGTAATTGGAAATCATTAAAAACAGATTTTATATATATATATATATATATATATATACCATTAAAAACACGTAATTAAAAACCATTAAAAACAAATAATATATTTATTACCATTAAAAACAGATAATATACCATTAAAAACGTAATATATATGATTTAAAATATAATTTTCTCTCTCTAGATTTTCTCTCTAATTATATATATTATCTATTTCATAAAATTTTTTATTTGAAAAAGAAAAAAAGAAGATGAATGTAGTCGCAAAATTGGAAACAGATGATGCAAGATTAGAGTTTTCGACATCAACGATGTTTCCGGCGAGATCAAGTGAATTACAGGAGAAGAGGAAGGTTGAGATCAATAAGGTTGAGATCGATATTGATCTTGGCCTTGGTGCTCGAAACTCACGCACCACCGCATCATAAAAGAAGAGGTTATGCTCCTTTGAATCCACGATGAACTCTATCTCTACATCTGCCATGGTTGGACATCTGTGTGTGAAAGGTTTAAGATCTCGTTTTTGGTTTTTAATTTTGAAAAGAGAAGTTTAGAAGAGCAACAGAGGAAGAGAGAGATGGGAGGCAGATGTATTGTATAATTTTTTTGTATTGTAGATTATATGGTATAAGTGTATTTATATATGACATTTGTACTTGCGGTAAAAATTAACGTAACTTAGTAAACTTATTTTATTTTTGTGCTAAGTTGGCGATGAGTAGGTGATGATGTGACACAATTTGAACAAGTGGCTAGATTACAGCCATTTGATCCTCAATGGACCATTTCTAGTGAGAGGTGCCATGGAGAGGATTTGCGCCCATTTCAAAGGGTAAGAATGTTAAGGTTCAGTGGTTAGAGGGGAGGGAAAAGGTGCAAGGGCTGCAAGGCTCGGACACGAACTCCCAGACACAGGGAGCAATCTAACCACTTGGGCAACATGACCATTGCGATGATGCAACATGTTGAGAGGGTAGAGTATAAAAAAAAAAAATCCCTTACTATATAAAAAAATATGCAACAGTGTATATAAAATCTCTTATTTTAGTATGCGTATATAAATTCCTATAATTTGAAAATTTGTTACAAATTGGCTGATAGTCAATTTTAAACTCTTATTTATTTATTTATTTTTATTTTTATTTTTTTTTACAAAAGCCCAAAATACTCTTAATAAAATTTGTGAATATAAGTGTTTTATTTTTATTTTGCATTAAGAATATTTTAGATAGTTCAATATTAAAATTTAGAAAATGTTTTTTGCTTAATTTTAAAATTGTAAAGGAGTTACACTAGTGGTTCAGCTAATAAAGGTCATCCAACATGTTAGATCATCTCCAACCCAATGCAGTTTGGGGTGTCATTTTTAAAATATAATAGATGGGCTTCAAATGGGTTCTCCAATGGGCTATCAATTGGTCTGCCAAATTTTAACTTTACCAATTTTAGTGCCAATTGTAGCACAAGAAATGGCAATTGCTATTTCTGACCGGCTCCTATTTTGCTCCCATGTCTCTAAGGCAACAGAGAGAGAGAAGAGAACGGCGGCAACAGACGGCGACCAGCGACAGAGAGAGAGAAGAGAACGGCTGTTATTTCTCGATCAAACCTCACTACCAGCATCCCGATCAAAGCTCGACTCAACCCTGCCCTCCTCTCTCCCCTATACCACACACTCTCTCCTCAAACCATAGAGAACTCGCCTACACCATAGCCACTCCTCCGTCGCTTTGAAACTCTAGAAGAAAGCAACAGGTATGAAACCTATATATTTCCAGATTTCTCTCTCTGTGC